TCTAACAATCCTGCAAGATTTCATTTTTCTCAGAGATAAGAAAAATATTTGAAATCATTTATAAAGCAGTCAAAGGAGAGTTTGCTGTTTCTCCTCTTACTACAGTGAATATGATATTTACTCATGAGTAAATAACATTTACCATGTCAGTAATTGAAGGGTTTAAATTATACATAAAATAGAGAATACTATAAGTACTGTACTGTAAAAGGTAAAAAGCTATAGAAGAGGGTTACAAACTTGTCCTGCGCATGCTCAACACTTGTTTCGCTATTGGCTGAAATTAGTTCAGTTATGATAAGGCGGGACTTCCTGAATTTGTAAAGTTCCTGATTGGCTGCTCCACCGCAGACCGGGAATATTTTGAATGTAACTGGGTGTGATTTTACGGCTTGTGTTTTTCAAACTTACTGAACAGACCCCGGCCCGCTAACTTTTAGTTAGGTGAGGTTTAAATCATTATTTAAATTATTGATGGAACTGGACGCAGGAGGAAAGCAGTCTGCTGACATGGCGGACTTTGTGGTGGAGGATCTGGAGTCCTTCGTGAACGTTGAATTGGAGGTGGACAAAAACAGCCAGACTTCTGAACACAGCATGTCCGTCATTAGTCAAGGTCTGTACACCGTTTTAATGTTATAATGTCGAAATACTTTTCAATGCACGTAGTTTGCAGTCAGTTTTCTGTATTAAATCGGGATATGGTGTTCAAATGTTGTGCCTTTGTGTTTGTTGTTCAGTATTTTGGAAAGCTTTAATCATTGACCCTACAGAAAACATCATGAAATCAGCTGCTGATAATTAATATCTGTCTACAGTTCTGGAGAAGTGAGGCTGGTAGAAAAAGACATGCCTTTCTTTAGACTCAAACTTTACCAGGGTTTTGTCCTGAAATATAACTTTGCTTTCCAGCTTTTATACTCTTAATACACCAGACCATTTGTTTTAGGACCCATTATTCAAATAGAGCCACATCTAATGATACATTCTATCTCTATATCCATTAAATCCAAAATGAGCATCATTTTGTCTGTGACATTCATCACAAGTGTTGATCTAGACAGGAGGGGAAATTTACCAACCCTGCTCCATTAATCTGAAGAAAAACAACTACTGTGAAACTGTCCAGTTCTCTGTCAGACTGGTCAGTGCCATCTCTTTACTGGTTCTACCTGTTTGAAGAACACTGGCGACGAAAGCTCATTGAGAAAAACATGTTGTTCTTTCTCCAATTCTACAATTCACTTAGCAGACGCTTTTATCCAAAGCGACGTACATCAGAGAGTAAGAACAACACAAGCAAGGATCTAGAAAAAAGGGAACAATGTCAGTAAGAGCAAACGATCAGCTTTGAGTCCGATTGGACACACAGGTGCTGACAGGAAGTGACCAGAAGCAAAGCACAACATTGACGGCAGTTCTTGAGAGCTCTAATCAGTATAGAAACCATCTTATAAGTCATTGTTATCAAACAAAAACCATCGTCATTACCATCATCATCATCAATAATATGGAGACCATCATCATTAAGTTAGTAGCTATTCATGAAAGAGCTGGCTCTTTAGCTTTTTCTTAAAGGTGCAGAGGATACTCTTCTTTAGTGGAAGAAAAATCTTCTGCAGGTGTTTAATAATCCATCTGTGTTTCTCCATTAGCTTTGTTTCAGAATGAAGAGGAAGTTGAAAGTGACAGTGAAGATGATGATGATGATGATGACACAGTGCACTGACCACTTTAACTGTGCGAGGGGCGGGACTCAGCTGCAGAGGTGTGAGCGGCGATCAGGACTAAACTCAGGTGTTCCTGACACCTTTCAGACGAGTCACCTGCTGTTCTACGAGAGGTTCAAGGCCTACCAGGATTACATGCTGGGTACATACACACACACAATAACACACACAGACAGAATCCTAGTCCCATGCACACAAACTATCATTTAATAATGCCATCTTCTACATGTGTTTGTGCGTATGTAGTTTCCAGGGCTATATACCAGATATATACACACACAACACTGCAAACTTAAATATGCTAACATTAAATCAGATATTTATGCAAATGTACACAATATAATCATAGATGGATTACACACCAACATACACACACACACACACACACACACACACACACACACACAAATAAACAATAATGATTATAATGGCAATAATAATATTGATGTGTGTGCAGGAGACTGTAAGCCTTCTGAAGTGAAGGCGTTCACCGCAGACTACCTGGAAAAGGTGTTGGAGCCACGTGATTGGCTGGCTCTGTGGTGCACTGATGTCTTCGATGTTGTGGTTGAGGTAAGAAAAAGATTTTAACAATAGTCTCTGTTAATACTCAGGTTTAACGATAAAGCGCAAAGACATTTTTTAGTTCAGTCTTTCTATGCTGTACTTGGTTTCTGTCTTTTCCTCTACATTCAAAAATCATCATTTTTTTGATTATGGTTTTTTTTCTCTGCACACATCCTCAGAAGATTGTTGATTTCCTCCTGGTATAAAATAAGCATTCTGCAGACGGTAATCAGGGCGCACTCACACTAGGCCCAGTTGTCCTGTGCTGTGCTGTGCTTAAGCACGATTGTCCCCCCCCTCCTCAATTCCCCCGCCGGCCTGCACTCACACTGCTCCCGGACTAACCGGGCCTGATCATGGTTACCTCTTGTACATACCATCATAATACAACACATGCATTTCCTTTCCGCACATTGATTGACAACAATACAGAGACCAAGACTGCAACTTTATTGACATTGTGGATATTTTGAGTCGGATACAGCCTAAAGATTTCAGGATTTCTTGGTAATGGAAGGCTGTCCACGTTGTGTAGCCGTGCTTGTGCTTGTGCTTGTGCATGAACTGTACCGTGCAGAAACACACCTGTTCCAAGCATGCCAAGGCAGTGGAAGTGTAACATGCTTGAGCACGGATCGGAGCACTAACACCCTAACATTAGTCAAACGAACTGGACTTTGAGGGTGAAGCGTGCGGGACAACTGGGCCTAGTGTGAGTGCGCCCTTAGTATGCATTTAAGAGAGAAAACCTGTCATGTTTAAGACCTAAAGAGAGAAAACAGCAATTGAAGTTTCTTGGTGAGCTGCATGTGTGAACGCAAACAGGCAAATTTATTACCTTATCCAGACTTTTTCTTGTCAGCCCTCTATTCAAATTTTCCATGTCAAGTCAGGGTGAGCTGATATGTGAACTGTGCAGGTAATATCCAGGAAAATTCACCGCTGCCTGGCATGGAGGGGTGGATTTTTTTATGTCATGTCTTGCCTCCTGAGACCCCCCTCCCATCTGACAGGGAAAACTTTAGGCTTGGAGGGACAAATATGAATACCAACTTAGGAAAATTTCAGGGACAGGCTGTCCTGAAAATCTTAGTCAATTTTATTTATACAGCACATTTCATATGACAAGCATAGACTCAATGTGCTGAAAAAAACATGATGATGTAGAGAGATGTTCTGGTGCTGAAAACTAGTAGGTTAAACATACATTTAAATTCAGACTAACCAACTAGTCTAAAGGAAAGAAAACACTCAGAAAACTGTTAACTGTCTGGGAGTAAGCGAGGTAATCTGGTTTGCTGAGTGTGGCTGATATAAGCAGTGCTAACACCGCCAGCCTTCAGTCCTCCCTGCAAGTAAACATCTGCATGCTGCCCTGCACTAAATGTGGTTAAGCATTGTATTATTCACTGTGCTTATTTATATTTGTGTAGTACAGCCTGGAGAAAAGCCCATTAACCAGGACTACAGCCAGTCTATGGATTATCTATGATGTATTTGTGTTTTTGAAGATGCCGTGTCCTCATCTGTGTTTTCAGGTGCGGGACTTGGACCTGAAGGACCTCAAGGCGTGTGTGCGGCTGGTTCTTCCTCTGCAGTGTGAAACACGTGGCTGTGAGCTCTCTGAGGAGGCCATGACAGCATTGCTGGAGGCCACGCAGCATCGAGTACTCCTGCAGGAGCTGCACGTGGTCTACGACTCTTCCGGGGACTTTGACCATACCGCCCTGGCCCTGGAACACCTCAGGTGAGCCTTTGCAGGTCATACTCTGATCAGGGCCTCACCCTGTGTCAGGTGTGATAATGTTCTCCATCTTCTGCTGTGTGCAGGTTCTTCTACAAACACATCTGGAGGCAGTGGGATGAAGAAGATGAAGACGATGACTTTGATTATTTTGTGCGCTGTGTGGAGCCTCGTCTGCGCCTGTGAGTGCTCTCTGTGATCAAGATGAAGGTTTGTCCTCCTCCTCATCACTCTTTCATTAACACCTGTCTTCTCACAGGTACTACGACATCCTGGAGGACCGGGTCCCTGCAGGTCTGGTGTCAGAGTACCAGTCCTTACTGGAGTCCTGCTCCAAGGTCTTCCAGCAGTTCAGCTCTCTGCGCAGTGAGCTGGTTTCAGACTCGGACTCTGAGCTTGATAACATATCCATGGTGGAGGGTCTGAAGCTGTGCGACCAGCTGGAGACACTGCGCCGCAAGCTGCACATCATCGAGAACCCACTGCTCAGGTGAGACGCACTCATCCTCACCCCTGTACCTCTACCATCCTCATGTCATCAAGAACCCCCTGCTCAGTTGAGACACAAATTACAGCTTTGATTTGGCAAACATTTTTCAAGTCATCTTTATGAAGCCTTATAATGTTACTAATATTATCATAGAGGCTTTAGTCGCTCACTGCTCCTTATCCTTGTGCTCTCTGTTGCTCTGCTTTAATTACACACACACACACACACACACACACTCATCCCCCCCCTCTAAACCTTCATCATCCTCACATTATTAGCTGTCTTAACTTCACACCTACACTACTGAAAACTTCAGGTCAGGCTTACCCTTTAATTTTCTTCACACATCCACCTCACAGCGGGGGATCTGAAAAGAACGGGACTCGGGCGCTATGGCACTATGGCGACATCTTTTGCCAATATATCAATGCTACATGTAGTTCCACACATTTACAGTTTTAAAAGAGAGGAACATACAGACAATCATGTTGGCCTGAAAACACAATGAAGCAGTAACATCATGTGCACAGAAACCGCACTGGTCGAGCAAGGTTGCTGGATATAAATGTCATCAACCCTCCCACCACCCGCTGTGGATATTCCTTAATGTTTCCTGCTGTGACTTAATTCAGAAAACGTACGGGGGGTCTGGCAGGAAAAAAAACTCTGGAGTAAAAAAAAAATGGCTGTTTGAGTTCACACACATAGCTTTTTTAGCCCAAAATGTCAGGAAGCTTTCAGGGGTTTGTGAAATAGGGCTTTACCCAGGTGAGATATTCCTTCATCACATGCATTATCCTCACATCATAGGGAACACCTCACTCACCTTTATTCATCTATATCATCCTTATTTCTATATCAATCTCACATCATTGAGAACCCTCTGCATAGGAAGAACAGGTGTTGTGTTGTCCATGTCTTCATCCTCATCACTGCTGTATCTTCTTGTTCTTCCTCCTCCTCCCTCTCTCCCCTCCTGTCAGGTATGTGTTGGGGTACAGGGGTAACAACAGACAGCAGTGTGTTCAGAGCCGTGGTATCAGGTGTTCGGGTGTGAAGGTGGTCCATGTGGTCACAGTGTCCTGCAGCGGCCACCAGCTTCAGTCCCTCCTCAGTGACAGACTGCTGCCTCTGAGCTCCTCTGAGGACACACAGATACAGGTCAGACACACACACAGATACAGGTCAGACACACACACACAGATACAGGTCAGACACACACACACACAGATACAGGTCAGATACACACACACACACAGATACAGGTCAGACACACTCACAGATACAGGTCAGACACACACACAGATACAGGTCAGACACACACACACACAGATACAGGTCAGACACACTCACAGATACAGGTCAGACACACACACACACAGATACAGGTCAGACACACACACAGATACAGGTCAGACACACACACAGATACAGGTCAGACACACACACAGATACAGGTCAGACACACTCACAGATACAGGTCAGACACACTCACAGATACAGGTCAGACACACACACTCACAGATACAGGTCAGACACACTCACAGATACAGGTCAGACACACACTCACAGATACAGGTCAGACACACACACAGATACAGGTCAGACACACTCACAGATACAGGTCAGACACACTCACAGATACAGGTCAGGCACACTCACAGATACAGGTCAGACACACTCACAGATACAGGTCAGACACACAGATACAAGTCAGACACACACACAGATACAAGTCAGACACACACACACAGATACAGGTCAGACACAAACACAGATACAGGTCAGACACAAACACAGATACAGGTCAGACACAAACACAGATACAGGTCAGACACAAACACAGATACAGGTCAGACACAGATACAGGTCAGACACAAACACAGATACAGGTCAGACACAAACACAGATACAGGTCAGACACAAACACAGATACAGGTCAGACACAGATACAGGTCAGACACAAACACAGATACAGGTCAGACGCAGATACAGGTCAGACGCACACAGATACAGGTCAGACACAGATACAGGTCAGACGCACACAGATACAGGTCAGACACAGATACAGGTCAGACACACACACACACACAGATACAGGTCAGACACACACACACAGATACAGGTCAGACACACACACACACACACAGATACAGGTCAGACACACTCACAGATACAGGTCAGACACACAGATACAGGTCAGACACACACACACAGATACAGGTCAGACACACACACACACACACACACACAGATACAGATACAGATACAGGTCAGACACACACACAGATACAGGTCAGACAGACACACACACACACACACACACACACACACAGATACAGGTCAGACAGACACACACACACACACACACACAGATACAGGTCAGACACACACACACAGATACAGGTCAGACACAGATACAGGTCAGACACACTCACACACACACACAGATACAGGTCAGACACACACACAGATACAGGTCAGACACACTCACAGATACAGGTCAGACACACTCACAGATACAGGTCAGACACACACACAGATACAGGTCAGACACACACAGATACAGGTCAGACACACACACACACAGATACAGGTCAGACACACACACAGATACAGGTCAGACACACACACACACACACACACACACAGATACAGGTCAGACACACTCACAGATACAGGTCAGACACACACACAGATACAGGTCAGACACACACACACACAGATACAAGTCAGACACACACACAGATACAGGTCAGACACACACACACAGATACAGGTCAGACACACTCACAGATACAAGTCAGACATACTCACAGATACAGGTCAGACACACACACTCACAGATACAGGTCAGACACACTCACAGATACAGGTCAGACACACACACAGATACAAGTCAGACACACTCACAGATACAGGTCAGACACACTCACAGATACAGGTCAGACACACTCACAGATACAGGTCAGACACACTCACAGATACAGGTCAGACACACACACACAGATACAGGTCAGACACACACACACACACACACAGATACAGGTCAGACACACACACACACACAGATACAGGTCAGACACACTCACAGATACAGGTCAGACACACTCACAGATACAGGTCAGACACACACACACACAGATACAGGTCAGACACACACACACAGATACAGGTCAGACACACACACACACAGATACAGGTCAGACACACACACACACAGATACAGGTCAGACACACACACACACAGATACAGGTCAGACACACACACACAGATACAGGTCAGACACACTCACAGATACAGGTCAGACACACACACACAGATACAGGTCAGACACACTCACAGATACAGGTCAGACACACACACACACAGATACAGGTCAGACACACACACATATATACAGGTCAGTCGGTAAAACATGAGATCATGGCTTTTAATTAAGTTTGTGAACTAGAAAAAGGAACAAATATTTGTTGAATTAGATTTCTTAAAATATTAAGCTACAGACATTTAACCATTAAGATACTTAAACACTGGAGAACCAATAAGACTACACTCACATCAAAATAACATGTCATACAGCCGACTCCCCTACTGAACTTGAAAGAATGGCTATGCAGGTCTAGGGCTGGGAATCATTGGGTGTCTCATGATTGTTTCAGATTTCGATTCTTGAGTACACGATTCGATTCAGAATCTATTTTCTATTCAAAAACAATTCATGATTCAAAGTCTATTTCTGAATTAGTGCATACCTCAGGATCTACTCCAGTCATCTGTGAGACTGGCTGAATCTCATTGTTGCTCTATTTGGCATTCTACTGAGTTAAAGAGCTAGCCTTAGCACTTAGAACGTAGTGACTGTTTAGCTGATTTTTGGAGGTTATGAATCTATTTAAAATCTCAGAAGATAAGAATCTCGATTCCCCCTATGCAGTTCTGTCTTCTTTTTTTTTTATTCTCTTGTGTTGTTCCGTCCTGTTCTAGTTTTGTATTTTTTGTGTCTATTTAATGTTACAATAAACTGAAAAGTAAGAGTGTCATGTTGAAGTTGGGACTGGGTTTTCAGTGGTGTTGGTGTGTGTGTTCAGTTCCACAAAGATCCGGTATCAGCAGTGGACTCGAGTCATGAAGGAGACGTGGTCCTGATCCTGCCGGGGGTCTACAGTGTGAGCAGCTCCATGTTCATCCCTGACTCCATCTCTGTGGAAGGTAAACACCATCCCACTGAAACATCAATGAAATACTGACACACTTTAGTCTCATCTGACACATGGAGCTGTGATATAGGATAATGCAAATTTCTGATCCTTTCTTTGAAACAGAAATGCTTAAAATAATACTCACACACACCTGTACTATAACATAAGTCTCTTTAAATTTGTGTGTGTGTGTAAGGGTTTGGACTTCCTGATGAGGTGGTGATAGAGAAGAAGAACAAAGGAGATTCATTTGTAGAGTCGACAGGAGCAGAAGTCAAACTTTCCAACATCAAGTTCATCCAGCACGACGCTATCGAGGGCATCCTGTGTTAGTACACACACACAAAACATATGCCACTTTCTTCTTCATTAGTTATTGGAAGTGTCCTCACATTTAGCTGTGTATTCCCTGTGCGTGTTCTTTCAGGCGTGCGTCAGGGCACTCTGAACATGGAGAACTGTGTGCTGCAGTGTGAGACCACCGGAGTGATCGTCAGAACATCAGCCTGTCTGAGCATGACCAGGTGTGACCTGTACGGATCCAAGGTGACACTCAACATACGCTGAATACACATTGAATAGATTCTACTGTCATTAAACATCAGTGTCATCACAGGTGTGTGTTTATCATGTGTGTGTTCATACAGCAGTAGCTTCACACATACCTTAGGTGTGTAGAAACTGTGTTAGCAGGAAGAGAGAGAACAGTTTATTCCTGATGCATAACATGAACTGTGACGAGTACATGTGTTTAACACACACACACACACACACACACACACACACACACACACACACACACACACACACACACACACACACACTGATCTGGTGGTAAATATCATCTGATAGTCTGGACCATTCTCTGTTTAGCTCTATGCTGAACTATCCCACAGGTAAATTGTAATAACAGAGAGTTACTGTTAGCCTAAAGCTAGCAGGTGATGAAGGATTTATGAAACTATAACTTGATGTGGTGGACGTCAGAGTTACTGGTCTGTGCATGTTGGACATGAACATGTGTGTTCCAAAAACTGTGTGTGTGATCATTATGCTGTGTGTTTGCAGGGGGCAGGTGTGGAGATTTACCCCGGCAGTATCTGCAGTCTGATTGGTAATGGCATCCATCACTGTAAAGACGGGATACTAATCAAGGTGAGCAACATCTTCTACATGTACACATTTTCACCTTGTACATACCAACAGGCAACCTTTGGTGTTGAAAAGAGAAGCCAATATGAAGTGCAGAAAATCTGTAGTTCCTCAAATGTCCACTTGAGGCTGGCTGCAAAAGTATCACTCACACACTTGTATTAAAATGTCTATGTTGACAGCAGAAATAAACATAATAGCAGCCTGGTTCAAAAAAACAATTTGAGTCTTCACAGTTCATGTCTTTTTTGGGGGTGATTCAGCCCTTAAGATGTGAATACTTGCTGCTGTTTTTATCCTGCACTAACGAGTCAAATGCAACAAAATGTTGTTCTTATCTGCACTGTAAAGTACGAGTTTGAATGACAATAAAGAAAGTCTAAGTCTAAAGATGTCATGAATTATGAGAGTTTTGCATAATTCGTGGTGTGACTGATACGACTGCAAGCGGACAAATTGTAGCCATTGCCATTTGCCAGGAGGCTTTAGAGCCCGCCTTTAGTCCACTTCTTGATCTGTTACTAGGTTGACGGAAAGGTAGGTTTTAGACAGCATAATCAATATGGCGGCTGACATTGTTGGGCATCAAAGCACCTCTTAAGTAATCAGTGGGAGCCCTCACTGTGACATTCTGTTTTTTACAGGACACATCTATGAGTGTATCTTCCAAACTAAATATAATATTGTCCCAAAAATGATGTTTCCACTTCATGTGGCCAGACAGCATTTTCCAAAATTAAGTGTTAACTGATTTTTATCCCCAAACAGAGATAGAAATGTATATCAAATATGTAAAAGCATTTTGATTAGGTGATAACTAAAGCCTACACCCTGAATGTACAGTTAGTGTAAAATAACTACAGGGCATCAAGTGGCCAAATCATCAACTAAAACACAAGGTAACTAAATGATACTCTCTGCTCATGGAAAATGAAAGCAGGAGTATAAACAATGTCATCATATATTTTTAAAGGATGTAATCTATTGCAGATACCAACCAGCCGGTAAAACCCTTAACTCCCCTTTCAAAACGATCACTATGACAACTGCATTTCTAAAGGACTTTATACTATCTTAGATGCTAGGTGTAATGTTTAAAGTGATACTTCACCCGTTGAAACATGAATCTGTATTGACATTGGGTGATATATGTATAAATGTGAAATACATTTTGAAGTTGGTGCCTTCTTGGCTAAGAAAAGGCAGAAAGTGTCTTTTTGGCTCATGTGGATGAAAGACACCAAATCCCAGAATGCACAGCACCGCCGGCCACTCCCACTAAGGTCCTCTACAGACATATTTACTTCAACACATCAGACCGTTTCCTCAACTGATTCAGGGATGTTTCCAGAATTGATCTTGTAATTCCTTTCAGAAACAGACTCTATGTCTGTGTCCATAGGCAAACAGTGAGAGCACCGACACTACCAGTCCGCCCAGCTCGAGCCGGCCCCGGCTCCTCGTCCTCACTGCCACAGACAGACAGGTCTAGCTGCTTTATTGCGACTCGTAGAGATAGCACGAACATCCGATTCGAGCACAAACCTTCAAAATCCCCTTCATCATTTCAGTTTGAAATTTAAACATAATTTATTCATACTTTCGCTCTTCTCAACTTTCTACAGAGCCTGTTAGCATAGCTACCCGCATATGGCAGATGTTGAGTTTAGATTCTTGGAGTGAGGTCCCACCACTAATCTGTGATTGGTCTGTAGCTTCAGTGTGTGTCCCCCTCATGGGTGGGTT